TGAAATCCAGGAGGAATTTCTCTATAGGTATACTCTGTCTCTCCCTCAGGAGGGGCACACACACACACACACACACACACACACACACACACACACCACTTTAGAATGATGATTTAGAAAGATGTTCATTTATTTTCATGTTCTAATTAATCCAAAATTCAAGAATTATTTCTAAAGCATTAATAGATTCATTACCCAGCTTGCCTCATACTCTAGAAATAATGATGATATTAAAGTATGAATAAAACTAGTTTTGTTTTTTGATAAGACCTTTCAGATGAAGAGATGCTAAAAATTTTATATTCCAATTTACAAGTGATGTATGAAGTCATTACTTACCTCACCATCAAACATACAACCCACCTATACTGACATGGCAAATACTGTCTTTAGTAATAGAAAGTATCAAATGACAATATTCTGGGAGAGAAAGAGAGAGAATTCAATCTAGTTGGAATAGCAGAGGAAATATTAGGCAAGTGGGGAAATGTGATTACACTATTTGGAAGTTGTCCAAGACACTAGGATTTTCACCCTATTGCTACAAAAGGTACCATGGGACCTTTAATACTGCCCAGGTCATAATGCAGTTTCGTATATCATCTGAATCTCATTTTGAGAATTCCAAACCTCAGAGATTAAATAGGAGTTCTTACATGAAGTTTTGCATTTTTATACAGCAGGGATGCAGAGATAATTAATTTCCATTGACTATATTGAAGGCCATAGTATGAGGAATGTCAGGATTGCTCCATGTTGTTGGCCAAACTATTTTTCCAAGATCTCATAATATATTTCTCAAAGTACCTAACCAATGACTTCATAATCTGTCCCTTTATATTTTTCGCTAATAAAGTTATAAGCAAGAATTCTAAGCCAGGAGCTAGTATAAGGACAGAGGGGGATGGGGAGCTGTAGAGGCAACCAGAAGTTCCAAAACACCCAATTGAGTAATGTTATCCCCCTCCTAATTTCCAGGCTAACATCTCTTGATCATGCTGTTAATGAAATCAGTATTACTATTTCCCTTTACTTTTGCCTATGTCCATAAACTGCAGTAAAAGACTTTATTAATATTACAGAGCAGTGATAATCATTTTCTATTTAAAATGTCCCATAGAAAACCCTACAGCAGATGCAAAAGCAGAATACCATTTTTGCAACCAGCTCTTTCTGAGCCTTCCCATAATTTCCTGCAAACATTATGCTACAGATATCAGGCTTTTGGTGAAGCATAGCCTATATCCATATCGAAATTCCTCATGGAAAGAGCTGACTGCAGCAAACATTGAATATTCCTGTCATACAGCAGTTCTTTTCTTTATAACCCACTAAAGTGGTCAGTTGGTATTGATTAGAAACAAAGCTTCAGTTTTACTGTTGATATCAGAATAACTAACCTCCTTGCCTTCACATTCATTCATGACTGTACCAATTGAAACCAAAGTCTTTGAACAAAATCCAGCAAGAATGTTAGCCTGGAGCAAATCATGTATGGCATACAGTTGCAAACAAGTGAAAATAGGGCACTTTTAGTGGAAACACTGGCAACTATTTAACCATTCAAGAGCATGTATGATCAGTAGTGTTCTAAATTACTCCTTGTAGAAACAGATAAATAAGTGCACTCTGAATTTTTTTGAGTCCACATTAAGGCCAAATGTTGCCTTCACTAATTGCTATTGCAGGTCTCAAAGATGTTGTAAATACATTCATGAAAACAGTAAAAGCATCTGGATGCACAGAGGTACCTGGGGTATGGACACTGCTCTACTGGCAGCAGGAGGGGGGAATATAAAAAGGTGCTTTTGCCACAGGCATCAAAAGCTTCCTTCATGCCCACCCCACTTCCAAGTGTCTTGTTAATATGCTAAGCTAAGATGAAGTTGTCATTTGAAAACATCTTTTGTTTTATTAAACTGTCCTTTCTCCCCCTTCTGGAAAAATACTTGCTAATACACAAATGTTCACTAAGAGTAATAACGTCATCCAACCCATGTAACTTCCCCTGATGTCCGTCTAAACTATACAGCTCTTGTGCCTACATTCATCTCTCACCTCCCTTTTTTTTTTTTTTTTGGCTCGGCAATGTGGTTAAGTAACTTGCCCAGGGTCACACAGCTAGTAAGTGTTATGTGTCTGAGGTCAGATTTGAACTCAGGTTCTCCTGACTCCAGGGCTGGTGCTCTATCCACTGCACCACCTAGCTGCCCCTCTCACCTTCTTTTTAAACCTTTCCAACAGGACTTTCACTGTGGCACCTCAAACTTTGGATATTCAGTGTCATGAAGCCAAATCAAACCCTTCTCACTCTAACACTGATTGGCGGGAACATAGAAATTAGGTTCTATTCATCCTAATCAATGCTCTCATTAGAGTTTTTTTTAACTTATTTTGCACAGCTGAGGTTGATTTCATTTCTGTTCCTGTCATGACCTATTTGTATGGGGTTGAGGGGATGAGTTTTGTAGCAGAGTGCCCACTCCTTAAGGAATAGATGTAGTTCCAGGTGAATTTATGTGAAATGCTTGCAAATGAGGACAAAGCCTGCTCTTTCATACATGCTTGCCAAGGTGAAATTCACCCCAGAAGTTACTCATTTGCAAATGCCTTTGAAGTCATTAGATAATACAATTGACTTCAAAGGCACCAGGAGTCTGATTTTTACTTTGGAGCTCTGTATCTACCTGAAAGCAGAATTTGGCTCCCAACCTACAGCATGCATGTAAAACTGATAATGCATATCAGTTTTTTAAAGTGAATTTTCACCTTGAATCTTTTTCCATAGGGCCACGGGTAACATAATGCTAATGTTCTTTGGCCTATCTCCAATTCTGCCATTACAGACTCACCTTTTTAACCCATAATACATATAATTCTTTCTTTCCAGAGCCTGCCTCATCGAGGCTTTGTTCATGGGTCACCGCACATCCAGTAGGTTTACTGGGGGACAGAGTGTAGCCTGACTTGTTACTGCTGCTGATTATCTCAGAATTCTTAAGAACATTCCAAGGGCAGGACTGCCTGCCTCTGATTCACACTCTGGATGTGTAACATGTGTCCCATGCTTTCTTGTTCCATGTGTAAATGGAATATCAGTGGGAGCTCCTTGCATAGCCCTGGGGCCCAGCTGGAGCTGGAGGGTATTGTCATCATCAGCTGTAACAACCTCAAACATTTATTGAGTATATGCTATGTGCCAGGCACACAAGACAAGAGATCTACCCTGAGTCATAATAACTTCTGTTTTCTAGCTGGGTTCCTACCTGTCCCATTCATCTTTTCCTAAACTTCCTCAACCATTGTCTGTCTGTCTCTCTGTCTCTCTCTCTCTTTCTCTCTCTTTGTGTCTGTCTATCTGTCTCTCTCTTTCTCTGTCTCTCTCTCTGTGTCTCTGTGTGTATGTTATATGGATGTGTGTCTCTGTGTCTTTCTCTCTCTGTCTCTCTCTCTCTCTCTCTCCCCCTCCCTCCCTCCCTCCCTCTCTCTCTCTCTCTCTCTGTCTGTCTGTCTCTGTCTCTGTCTCTCTCTCCGTGTATGTCTGTCTCACTCTGTCTCTGTCTCTGCGTGTGTGTGTATGTGTGTGTGTGTGTGTCTCTCTCTCTCTCACACACAGACTAATTTTTTTTGCATTTGAGATGACAGGTGAATTAACTTGCCTGAGAAGCGTGCTAACAGAGGAAATATTGTTCTTAAATATCCACCAGTATGTATTAAGTAAAATGCTACATAACTGTAAGAACACAGTGAGAATATAAGGGTCTGATAAACAAAGGAGAAGAGATTTAAGAGTCAAAGAAACAGGCAGGGAAGAGGCAAAAGAAGCCTTAGTCCCCTAAGAGTCTGTCCTTTGACCAGGAATTTCGTTGTTTAATATTGATTGAAGGCCTGCAATATACTTAGTGTTTCTTTTTCACTCTTATAGGCAGTTGTATTTCTAAGGACAATGAGTAAGATTTCTCCTCTTCCTTTTTTCTCTGTAACAACCCAGCCTGAAACGAACTGGGCATAAACCTTGGCCTTAGAAAAAAATAAACAACTTCATCACCAGAAAGGAAAGACTATGGCAGCCAGCATCAACCCCCTTCATTTTTAAAACAAGGCAAAGGGAGCTAGTTTGAAACTACCATTCAGATCACAGAGCTAAAATACTTGGAGATCATTTTCAAATGGAGAGATCGGGGTCAAATTTATTCCCAAATTACCAAGGACATCCAGAAATCAGTACTTTCCACTATATTTTACTCCCGTGGCTTGTTCCTTTTATGAATTTCAAATAGATAGCCCTATAGGAGGGTTTTGTAAGGAATCTTCTAGGAAAAATAATGGTTGATGTTTTAATTAATCACTTGCACGTATGTAGCAACTTCAGTTTTACAAAGCGTTTCCCTCACAATAATGCTGTTAGGTAGTGCAAGTATTATGATCCTCATTTTGTAGGGAAGGAAACTGAGGCTCAGTCAATCAGTAGGAATTTTTCAAGCATCAGGCACTCTGGTAAGCAGGGAGGATGCAAAGACAGCAGTGAAATTGTCTCTGCCCGCAAGGAGTTTGCACGTGATTAGACCAGAAAAATTATAAGTAACTCCCCCAGGATCACAGAGATTATAAAGGTGTCTGCAGTGTATCGAAAACAAAATAAAAATCAATGGACTGGGGGAGTCAGAAGCACCACAGACACCTCTATGATCTGTGTACTCTGACCTTTTTTTATGGATAAGTTTATGTGCTGAAATTCAGAGAGCTAAGTGGAGAGTATTGGGATTTAAATAGATTATAGGGACTTGGGTGCATGCATATGTATGCAAAGGAGAGACAGAGACAGGGCACAGACAGAGAAACAGAGAGACAAAGAGACAGAAACCAAGACAGAGATATAGCAACAGCTACATGCATAGTATGTATAGATGCTTATAATGTCATTTAAATGCATTTCAGTATATCGTCTTCGTCTGTAATGTTTCCTCTGCTCATTGCCTGCTTTATACTTTCTCTTCCAGGCGGTACCACCATACTGGCCACGGAGAAACCAACTGTCATAGAAAGCACGATACAGTCAGGTATGGCATTCTATGCCTTGTTTGTCTCTACCTGCAGTGGGCATCATGGCACCAACAGAGTGCTTGTAGGGCTTCTTTCTCCACTCTTACTTCCCCTAAAAGTTGCTGTAGGACAGTAGCAGCATCTGGTTTGAAAGTGCCAGAGCATAAATGTATTTTTTTCCTCCTTTTGTCCACATGTATATGCAGCAGGAACTGAGATTTTGCCAAATGGTGACAATCCCAGCTCTCCACCAAAGGAACTGCCTAACATACTTTGTTTAAACGCAGCGGTCTAGGACATGGGCTGTGTTTGCAAACTGTAGGGAGAGGGAGCCTCACAGACAGCAGCAGCCTGACTGTTTATTTTCCTCACGATGCTGCAAAACCAAGACAGGCAAAGTTTGTCAGTTCTGCCTGCCGCAGAGTTGGCAGTCTTACAGTAATGTTTCCAGTGGGCCAGTAGGCGGGCCACAAAAATGGGGTGCAGGAAACCAGTGCTATAAATGTGTGCAGGAAGGGAAGTACTCCGGGGAGCCCTGGGGCAGCACCTCCTCATCCTTGTATTAATAGAAAAGCTAATGACTCCCAAAGTCTTTCAGTGGCTATTTATCAGAGCTTAACCACTCTCTAGGGTTATGGCCTTTTTTGTGTGTGTGTATGTGTGTTTTTGGGTTTTTTTTTTTTAAGTATTTTGCACAGTTCTTCCTCACAGACACGCACCAAAGGAAAACAATCAGTGCTGGCAAGCGGCAATTTTTAAATACTTTAAAGGTAATCATTACGGTTAAGGTGAGCAGGTCAGTTTTTCAGTTTCTTCCATTTCCTTTATTAAGCACAATCATCCATGGCCGCCACAGTAATTTATTAACGGGGCATGTGGTATATATCAATGTTTCCTCAACAGTCCGGCACCATCAAGCCAAGCTGAAAGCAGAAAGAGTTGGCCTAATTAGTATGCTTCCTTTAGGGACACCAGCACCGTTGACCTGATTAGGCAGCAAAACAAACTTCCCTACCTTGAACTTAACCCCTAAATCTCCCTGCTGGGCATTCTGGTTGACTGACAATCAAGTCCAAACTCTTTTTAATACTTCAGAATAAAAGTGAAGGACAGTCACTAGTGAGAAATTTACTTCTGATCACCCCTTCACCCCTACTTTGCCCAAGTTGCTGTTAAACTCTGTAAACCCTCTGTATCGCTCTCTATAATCTGAGTGAATATCTCTCTGTATGATTCTCTTTGTAGTCAACATGGGCTTTAAGCAGGGTGGTAATAGTGAGTACTAAGAAAATACAGCCAACTTTCCACTATAGGTGCTAATGAGGACAGGAGATATTGTCCATTAGGTGCATGAATAGGGAAAACAAATAGAATCAATTAAATGAAGCCCTGATAATTGCCTTAAATGATTTCATCATTACTTTCAGTTTTCCGCTCAGTTGGCACAACTATTAAATCTACAATGAAATTGTGCTATCAGTTTAATATTTCCTGTCCTATCTTCTTCCCCACCTTCTGCTAGAGATGCTGCCACCTGGGTGTGCCAATATATCCAATTAGACACTCTCTCCAGTGATGTAGCTCCCACACTTCTAATTCTTAGACAGTGAAAGGAAGTCTGTGTGGGCAAAAATTCTCATTACCACTGTGGCCAGCCTTCTGGAGAGGAACCTATCTGAACTTAGCTAGACGGGATCATAGGAGATCTTCTAGTTGAACCTCATCACTTTACAAATGAGGAAACTGAAGTCTAGAGAGGTCAAGTGACTCAAATCCTCTGATGAAGCCAACGTTCTTTCCCCGGTACCACGTTGCTTCCCCCTGTGATACTCAGACAACAGACCCAGCTTGTCACTGAGCCCGTGCTCCAAGCCTTTCTATCGCAGTTGTGCTGTCCAGGGCTTGTGAAGTACTGACAAAGCCGTCTAGAACTCATGGTTAGCTCCCCACCACACTGAGGCGTCCAAGTTAAGGGATTTTTTTGGAAGGCAGGTGTTAATACCACAATCAAAAGATAAACAGTAGAAAGAAAGAAGGATGAGGAATAAAGTGATTTGGAATTCATAGACTGGATAGTTTTCTCCTATGCAATCAAGAATTTCTAAGAATTGCTTTAAGAAAGAGAAAAGGAAAAAAAAAACTCCACTGGTTGACTCATTTGATTTGAACTTGAGGTCAAGGTCATGGTTCTTTAGTTTCACATAAAGGAACCTTGTTTCACGGTCACAGACAGCAAGCCTGCCATCTCACCAACGGCATAGTCAAAGGGTACTCACCCAATTTAATTCAGTGCAACCCCTCGCCACTATAGAAAGGAAGGGAAGAAAAAAAATTTAAAACAACCTCAAAGACCATGTCCTGATGGTACTGACGTATACAGGGTCATCTCTGTGTACAGAGGACAGCACCCTGTATCTCTTTTTCCACTCCCTAATTTACTGCCTATTTATTATCCAAGGGATGGTTTGGGACTGCTGAATCAGCAGCTGTCATTTTGGGGTGGAAGAGGGGCAACAAAGCCGGTAAAAGTAACTCAACAAAGAACTTCCTCTAAGATGTTTGTTTTCCAGTTTATTGTGGTTTCAATAGTGACAGCATCCTTTAAGGAAGTATACTAATTAGACCAGGGCTTTCAGGCTAGCCTGATGGTATCATACTGTTGAGGAAACATTGATATACATCACACATCCTGTTGATGAATTACTGTGAAAGCTAAGGTTGACTGTCTGGTGCATTTAGAAGAGCTGAGGATATCATTTATATCACTGAGGATATAAAACTAGGTTTGGAGTGAAAAGACCTGAGTTCTGCTCTTGCCCCAGATTGTTACTACTACTACTACTACTACTACTACTACTACTACTATTATTACTACTACTACTTCTACTACTATTTACTACCACCACCACCACCACCATCACCACCATCATTACTACTACTACTACTACTACTACTACTGCTGCTGCTGCTGCAGCTGCTTCTAGATAACATTTAGATAGCACCTACTATGTGCCAGTCACTGAAATATGGGCTTTACAATGATTATCTTATTTGATCCTCACAACAAACCTAGGAGGTAGGTGCTATTATTATCTCTATTTTACAGATGAGAAAACTGAAGCATTTAGAGGTTAAGTGACTTGCTCAGGGTCACATAGGTACTAGGTATCTGAAGCCAAATTTGAACTTAGGTCTTTCTAACTCCAAGGCCAGAATTCTATCTACTGAACCACCTAGCCAAATCATTTATCCTCTCAGAGGCTTGGTCTTCTCATCTGTTAAATGAGAAAAATAATACTTGTCCTATTTATCTCATAGGTTAGTTATGAGGAAAGTGCTTTATAAGCCTTAAAATGTTATATTAAGGTGGATTATGAGTTATATTTCATTCATGCCCTCAAGCATACAGCAGACTGTGCATTTATGTAGAATCTGAGAACTGGCAAGGACCTCAAAGGTCATTTAGTCTTGAATGAGAACCCCCTCTAAAATTCACCCAAGAAATTGTTGTCCAGCCTTTGCTTGAAGACTTCTTTTGAGAAAGAGTCCATTACCTCCTCAGATAGCCTTTTGATGGTTCCATCTTTGAGGAAGTTTTTCCTGATAGATATCAAGCCTAAATGTGCTTCCCAGTAACTTTTCTACTTCTAGATTCTGGGGTCTTGAAGAACAGGAAGCCAGATTTATACCAAAATGGATTCTGAGATGATTGAAAGGTTCGTTTTGTCAAGTTGGTTCTCTCCAGTCAACCTACATAGGTCTTTGTGTATCAGAGAACCTGGAAGTATTGTTCTCTCTCACTATTTTTCATAAACTGGAAAATCAGAACTCATCAGAGCTCTCTATCAGAATCCAATTCTGCCATGGTCATATACAACCAACCAGAGTCTAATTCTTACCAATGTTAGTAAACTCAATAAGCACATAATATTCTCACACCTTCTGGGTGGTTGCATTATATGCAAGATTCCATTAGTGTTATGCCAGGACAGCTGGTGCAACCACCATCTTTTTAAATATATTTTCCCTGTACCAGGCCTCATATGCTTCTATGTCTTCAAATATTGCTATAGCAACTCAAAGTGTTTTAGTGTCCTTGCAATTTCCATGCCCCTCATCACCTCCCCTTGTTTGAATAGTAAGGACCAGCCTGTGAGTTGGGAATGTTCAACTACTCAATAGAAACTTTGTATACTAGACTTTAAAATTAAATCCTCGTGCACATTCACCGTTAATGATTCAACTGTGAGTAAGATTGGCTCTATAAGTACAGCTGGTGCTTGCTCTTTGAGACTATAAATTTGTTTTAAGTTCACAATATTGTTTCCTGCTATTTTTTAAGAGTCGAGCAGGGATTTAACCACATTATTCCCATTTGCTTTAATGAGAATTGTGCAGCTATGGTGCCCGGATAGCATTTTGAAGATTTAGGGGTCAATATTCCAATGTTCAGTTTACGTTTATGGGTATCTTGTGCCTCTAATAGCCTTTTTGCCCAGGCCAAAGTCTGAGACTCCAAATCATATTCACCACCCTAAAATGCCTTCCTTCCACTGTTCCTTACAGAATGAAAAAGTAGCCATAAACTATAAATTCAATGACCAACAGATAGAATAAAAGAGTAGAAGAAAGGCACACATAGCAATCAGCATGCTCTGATCAAAACTTAGATTTTCCAGACTGGGAGGGACCTTGGAAGTTCCCTTGACCCACCCTGCAGGACCACATCCATGACTTCCTAAGCAAATGATAATCTAAGCCTTTTTTTAAAAAAAGACTTCCAGGCAAAGAGATTCCTTAATCCTGGTAATAATAAGAACCTAAACTCTATGTTTGTGACATCAGTAGAAATCCTTTAGTTTCATTCACAGATGTGGTGGTTTCCTCTATTGAAGGACATGCTTAGGGTTTTTAGGCAGGGAAACATAATCTGAATTATATATAAAATGTCTCATTGCCTTCCTGTACTAAATGTTTTATAAAATATCATTGAGAGTGACACACAAAAAATAAAATGTTCCCATTAAAATTTTTCTAATATGTAGTTATGTAACAATACAGTCTAGTATGATCAGATTGCAACATTCAAGACTACCTAACCATTCAAATTTCAATTACTGTCCTTCATTTACATAATTTAATCTCAGTAGGCAAAAGTGTGGTAAATTTTAGAGAGGCTTTCTCATGCTTTAAGAAGCTTTATTTCATGGTTACGAAAGACTAGACATGAAATATAAATCTCCAGTGACACTAGAACTGTGAAATATGGCCCTTTTCCACTAACTGATAATGCTCACATTATATACATCATCTGGTTTTCTAGTTTACTTCTCTGATGTCATCCTTTGAAGAGGTCACATTGTCACTGGAATTAGGAATTTTTTCTATTCTGTTTTGAGGGTATATCAGGTGGAACCCTTATTCCAGAACTTGATATGAGTTGGAAGCAAATATTAGTGTTTTCAAAGTGTTCCTTAGATGCTAGAAATGTAAAGAATTTCATCCTTATCTGTTTAATAGATCTTCCCATTAAAATTCCAAATACCATTGTTAGAGTGCAAAGGGAGGAGGCTAGTAGGGAGGGATAACAGAGGTGGGGTAGATAGAGAAAGCAAAATGCTTGGGCAAAGTTAAAGCTCAAAACAAGATATGATCTCATTGTGACCATCATAAGCCTTAAGATATCAGACTTCCCTTGCTGTACATGAGGCTTGTTGTGAGGTTTATTTTAAGTTCAATTGGCAGGGTGCCCTATTTGTCTCTCTCCCCTTTCCATTTCAATGCTGCCATCTTGTGGGCGGTCTAACCTAAATTAAAGGCAATGAAATTTGTTGGTGTTACTCAAGTTTCTGAATGCCTTATTTTCTTAAACAAAAAAATTGTGCATTAAAACATCCATAGCTTGTCACTGTATCTATTTTAAGTTTGAATTTGGGGGAGGTCTTAATTTTGCCACAAATTTTTCAACATTCAATGAATTTTTGTTTTCAGCATTTACAAGGTTAAATAAAAATCCTAAAGGTAAGAATCATGAAAATTTATTAGATTGTATATTTGGGAATGAGCATTGTCAGACAATGCCTTGCCAGATGAATGGGGAAAATAGTTGATCTGTATCAATGAACTCTACAAATTCCAAAGGAAGAATTTTTTAAAGATGAAAATTTTCTGGTGGTTATTTAAAGGTATGGATAGTTTCACTTACCTCTGTGGTTTTAAGTGTATGGAGCATTTTAAACGGAAAAAAAAAAATAACACACACAAACCATAAAATAAAAAAAAATTATTTAAATTTATTATGTAAAGAGCACCAAAAAATGCTAATTCTCCTCCCAAAAAAAAAAACTTCATCTGAAACATCTAGCCTAACTGTGAATACTTTAAAAAAAATTGTGAAAATTTGGATTAACATCAGTATTACATTCTTAAGAAAGCCCACACATTCAGATTTTTTTTTAAATCTGTGGGTAGTCTCCTCTCAATGTTCTTATTTGTGGATTTCAGTCTATATGATTCAGCCTCATCAAGCACCATTAAGTGTTGTGAAAGGAGGGACTTCAAGTGGTAATATAGATGTCATTGAAAGATACCATCTTTAATTTTTTTTAATGTAAAACCAATTTGACATTGCCATCTCTAATCTGTTTAAAGCCAGTAAAGAATAGCTAAATGAAATTTTGAAAACAATTTGACATTTTCCCTGCATTTCAAGTTCCTGGCAGTCCTGATATTTGTGGCCTTCCCAGAATATTCAAGTAGAGATGAATCTCATATAAATTTATCTTCCAGGGACTAATTGAGGTCTCTATTTTATTCTAAATTAAATGATTAACTCTGTCTTTTTTCTGCTTGTCTCTTTTTCTCTTCCCTGTCCAATGAAGAGTTTTCAGCATATGGTTTTAACTGTGGATTTGGCTGGGGATCTCATAAGACGTTCTGTCAGTGGGAACACGACAATCACGTGGAACTAAAGTGGAGTGTGTTGACGAGCAAAACAGGACCTATTCAAGATCACACAGGTAATCATGAGTTCATGGTAAACTCTATTCTCTGCAAGAATCCTTTCTGAACCAGAGAATTCTCTGGGGGGATGGGAAGGGTCACACTGGTTTCTGTGAATTTTGAGTGGGAAAGTCATTCTGAGACAAGAGCCTTGTAAATGGGGTTCCATTGACAAGATATCCTATTTGTCTTTTTTCTTCTTATATAAAGATTTACTCAAGGCAAGGAGCAAAGAATTATGGTTTTATTTCTCCTATGAGCAATGTCCCTGCTGGGAAGCCATGTGGCAGAAGAAAAATGCACACGAATTAGTCGTTTTCGTACCTAAAATTTTAAAATAAAATCATAGAGTTAGAAAGGCAGAAATCACCTCTACATCTCATACAATTGGCCATCCAACATCTGAAGGCTTAAAGACCTCCAGGGACAAGGAATTCACCACCTCCCAACATACTCCATTCCGTTTTTCAAGAGCTCTAATTGTGAATAAGTTTTTCTTTTATTTAGCTGAAATCTATCTCTCAACAACTGTCCACTCATGGTTCCTCGTCTTGCCCCCTAGAGCCAAGTAAAACAAATTTAATCTCTCTTTCACATAATAGCTCTTCAAATACTTGAAGCCAGCTAACTCTCATGCTCCTCTTATGGGATGGCTTGATTTCCCACATCTTCTTCTAGAAAGCCTCTAGTTTTTCAATGTCCTCCTAAAATCAGAACCAAATACAGTGTAATTATAACCTCCCTTGTTCTGGAGAACATGCTTCTTTCTTTTAATTTTTCTGAGTGACCAGTGTTACTGCTGACTCCTATGAAATTTGTCCTCCCCTAAAAAAAATCCCCACTTCTTTCTTCATGTCTTTTTCTGTTCTTATTTATGCAGCTGGGTTTAATTCAAACACTTTATATTAATCTCCACTAAAAGTCATCTTATTAGAGTTGGTACCTCAATTCTAGCCTGCTGAGATGTTTGGGGATCTTGATTTTTGTCATCTTAAGCATAACAGATAAAGAGCCAGGTTCAGTCAGGAATCAATGCACTTGCTACGTACCAGCACTTGGTATGTCAGGTATTGGGTACACAAAAATAAAAATGAAAAAGTCCCTGCCCTCAAGAAGCTTCCATTCTTCTGTAGGAAACAATCTGTCCACATGTAAGTATGTATATAAAATATATGCAAAACAAATACAAGATAATCTAAGGGAAGTAATAACAATAAAGTAACAAGAGCTGGCATTTATATAACACCTACTAAGTGCCAGGCACTGTGCTATGTACTTTACCAATAATCTGTCTGAGCCAAAATATGTAGAGAATGATGTGGCCATACATAGGTATAGATAAACCAACTGTCCTTATTTCATGTTATCTGCAAATTAGATAATCTTGATACTTATGCCTTTACCCAAGTCATTAATAACAATATTAAGTAAAATAGAGCTAAGGAGAAGAGTCCTGTGGTACTCCCCTAGAGGTTTTATTCCAGACTGACAATAGTCCATTCATTAAACACAATATTTAGGGTCCACTCACTCAATCCATTACAAATCCAACAAACTGTACCTTCCTAGGCCATATCTCTCTACCTTGTCCACAAGAGTATCATGAGACCTCTTCAAATGAAATACAAGTGTACTATACCTACAACCTTCCTTTTATTCAGAGCTAAGGAAAGCCTAAGTCCAGTGCTTAACTCTTCCATAGGCCTTGAACTGGGGTAGGGCTGGATGGTTTGATATGCTAGTTCTGTTTTGAAAGACTTTAACTTCATTCACTTCTGAATAGGTGAAGATGGCATTAAAAAAAAAAAAGTACCCCTTACCCTACCCCCGCCAAAAAACTAAAATAACCCTTTCACACCTTGTGGAAAGAAGCTAATAAGACAACAAGCTGGGAAGGAACAATTCCAGTCTTTTTTATCATTTCCCCACTTCATCTCTTCTTTGATATTTACTTAGATGATAGCATAGAGAAGTAAGAATTTCCCATCATGGTTAAAAACTTTCAATACGCTGGTATTTTTCCAAATACTGCTTATTCAGAAGTAATGGCTTCCCCAAGGATACCCAGAGTAGGAATTTGCTCATGGATTGAGATCTCATTAAAAGAAGATTCCCCCCACGTTGGTGCTTTGGTAGAGTGGGTCAGCGTGACATGGATTATTGGTCTATTTTGTTCTTCCCTTTTTATCTGGTGAATGGAGTCATTAACTATGCCAGATAGGCCTTCCTCTTACACAGCTCTAACCTCCCCCTCCCCTTTGCCCTAATGAAAATGACAAGGAAATTAGATAAAATTGGACTCCTTCAGTCCTGAGACACTTTTCATTGAATCTTAAGACAAGTAGTTTTAAAAAACTTAAAATACTTTGACTGTAAATGGCACTGTACATATAAATGGCATCAAATTAACTAAATGCAATTAGCTGAAATGAAGGCAGTAACGGTGAAAAAATTGATGCAAAGTGAAGGCAAATGGCTCAGTAGGATCTGACATTCAAAAGAGGTTAAAAGCTAAGCGAGCCAGAGACTGACAAAAGCTAAAAGGCTGAAGAATGAAAGCACAAATTGAGACAATGAACACAGAGTTCCTGACCCAGAACTGGGATAAAATCCCTAAAAGGAAAAATATCTGTACTTTCTGACTAGACATGTTCCAGAGGCTGCTCAGGGCTTAAATTAACAGCCTGAAAAGTTCTGCTTCCTTTGTTTTCATGAGCAGCCATCTCAGCTTGGCCATTGGACCAATGTTGTTGTGCTGTCTTCACTAAAAATAAATAAGTCTACTAAAATGCTAACAAAAAATTTCATATACACACACAATCTTTCACAATTTTCTAGTTTTTCAGTCACTAGTTTTCTTCTTTCTTCCTTCCTTCCTTCTTTTCTTTCCTTTCTGTCTTTTACTCTTTCCTTCTTCCTTCCTTCTTTCCTTCCTTTCTTTTTCCTTCCTCTTTCTCTTCTTTCCTCCCTCCCTCCTTTCCTTCCTTCCTTCTTTCCTTCCCTCTTTCCATTCATTCTTCCTCTTGAGAAAATTTTGTGATTCAAGCCATGGGAACAGTTTTAAAATAATATTATCCAGACACTATGTCATGCTGTCCAACTTTAGACTTATTTAAAACAGCTTTGTTTGAATTTCCATGTTAGACTTTTAACAGTGATACTATGAAGTTTCTCTGACAAGGTTTTTGGGGTTTACAGGTTTTCTTTTATGGGGAGGAGTGGAGTTGGGCAGGAGGAGCTCTGCCTCTCAAAGGAAACACAGATTTGGAAGCCAAATTCTAATCAAGTAGTTTCTAGGACAATGTTGCCTTGTTCCCCAGTAGAAAGTAAGTTCCTAGAGAAGAGGGACCATTTGTATCCTAGTACCTACCAAGGTGCCTTATAAATAGTAGTTGCTTAGGAAATGTCTGTTATATTAAATTTTTGAATCACTGATCTTTTGCATTAATCTTGAGTAGCCAGGATAAAAAGGCCTAGAACACAAAAACTGGCCCACTCTTGGATTTTTGCTGTTCAGTCATTTCTGTCATGCCTGCTCTTCATGACCCCATTTGGGGTTTCCTTGGCAAAGATACTGGAGTGGTTTGCCATTTCCTTCTCCATATTCTTGAATAGGGGAATTTTTAAAAATTACTTCTAAAACCTCTCATATGAAGGAAAAAAAAAAACATTAATTCATTCAAAGCAAGAACTTGAACTGAATTAATACTAGTTCACTTTGAGTTCACACAGTATTAAGCTCATAGGATTTGGAGCTGAAAAGGGTCTTTGAAATCATCTAGTCCAATTCCTTTATTTTACAGAAGAAAAAAACAATGTTTTGGTTTTGTTGTATTCTAAAGATTTAGAAAATATATAGGTTCATTTTCAGCTTTAATTCGCCGCAAGGTATTTTATTGGTATTTGGTGGGAAAGAGGCTTTGGGAGGGAAATTCAACCAAATTGAGCTTATGGCTTAGGTTTTTTTGTTTTGTTTTTGTTTGTTAGTCAAAGCTGGAGTTTGTGGCTTAGAGAGGCAGTATGATGGAAATCATGGAAAGAAGAGTATATTTGGGCTGTGATTCAGGAGATTCTAGTTCCAGCCTCGATGGTCTCTAAGGTTCTGTTCAACTTTAAATTGAGATCCTATGATCTATTACCATGCTTCCCTGGGCCCCAAGTCTGCTTTGGGAAAAGAGGAGTCTGGATCAGATGGTCATTAGGACCTTTCCAACTCTAAAACGTGATTATCTGTCAAATTAGTACCTGCTTGGTTCTCGATAATTTATTAATATTATTGATTATTAATTATTCATTAAGGTTAATTCATTGTTAGTAAAAGTAATATTATTTTTAAATTATTCCTGTGGTATTCAAAGCTTGCTTTTATTCAGATCTTTGATGGCAAAGATAATATATGTTGCCAAAGTCTGAACAAGGGAAGTAATACTTATTTATATTTAGTATGAGTTATCCTGACCTGGCCTTTTCAAGCAATCCTATAGAGTACAAATGATCCCCCAGGGTGAGGAAGAAAGGGGGGGGGACAAAACCCTGATTATTACTATTTCTGCTTTCCCTGAACTACTTCATTGACCCTCCTTACTTCCCAATCCAAGCTTGGCTTATTTCCACAGTTCCAACTTCATTGTACCCTTCCTGAATGCTATTTACTCTTTCTACCTTTCCAGAGTTAGAACATTCATTTTCTCCGCCAACCCACATCCAACATTTCTTAAATTCATCCCCTCTTTCCCACCTCCAAATTCCTCATAACCTTCAATTTCTTCTTCAAATCCTACCTCTTTCCTGACTAATCTAAAGTCCTGAAAGGTGGGTACTATCATTATCTCCATTTTACAGTTGAGGAAACTGAGGCAGACAGATCACACAGGGTCACACAGCTAGTAAGTGTCTGAAGCCCGATTAGAACTCAGATCTTCCTGTTTTCAGGCTCCAACACTCTATCCACTGTGCCACCTAGCTTCTCGCCATCCACCAAATGCAAGAGACCCAACCATCTCACACTCCTACTTAGTGCAAACCAAGTAGATGTTCCTCCGTATATTAGATCTCTTAAGTCCCCAAGTTTCACTTCAGAAAGCTACATTTGTGACTGTCAGTCTCTGTGGACAGACAAATCACTCTTTCTTTGTGTGCCCCTCATGAAAGAAACAGACTTTCAGATGCTTAAGACATCAGTAAGTAGTTTATCTCTTAGACAAAATGAGCAGAAAATGGATAGACTTAGTAGTTCATAGATGGCCAATGAGATGTGGTTTACTTCAATCATCCTTGTACTGCCATCATTGATAAAGGTATTGATGCAGAATGAACATGTCAGTGACACCGCCCTGGGAAGAGGCAGAACTGGGTTGTGTAGCCCCTGTCAACTAAAGCATTATGCTCTACTCTGAACAATACTGAAAAGGGCAGACACATATATGGATACCAAACATTTATACAATACAATATACAAATTTGGCTTAGGGTCATATATCAAAAGCTAGAATTAGGTGCCCCAAAGGCTAACCAGTTGACCCTTTCATTTTACAAATAAGGAACCTGAAACATGAAGTGTAGGGAGATTAATGACCTTGCCCAAGGTCAAACAGGTAATAAGTCTCAGTAGTGGGATTTGAACTGAGGTCATCTGATTTCAAAATCAATGCTCTTTCCACAATATATATTGAAATACATTGACTGTACATTGAAGGCAGAGAATAAGATTCATAATTCCATTGTCTGTACTTTAGCCCTAGTCCTACTCCAATGCCTCAGTGTGACATGGAGATGGCCATGGGTTGTTTCAGGTAATTTGAACATCAAAATACCAGCTCCAGCAGGTACTACCAAGGTGAAAAAGCTTGAGGCACAGGCCTAGTGACCAACTATACAGCCATGTCTAAAGACCAGCCTAGTTGAATTCCGAAAGATTTCATTACCAGCTGAGTTATAGATTGATGAATTTTTCACCTCTGGTGATTCTTCTAAGTCATAGAGGGATTAGAGACTAAGTCCTTGGAGGGAGTGTCCACACCAATGAAATCTAGCCCCTAGAAGCATGTGAGCATTAGCTTGAATGACTTCTGTTTGAAGGGCAAACAATGAAGTGTAAGTTATATGTTTAGACCCAGTGGTGACAGAGGGAAATTTTCCCACTGGGGACAATTAAAAGCAAAACCAATAGTAAGTAATTACAGCTCAGAAAGCATCCCCACTGCCAAAACCAGTCCATTCCAAAGGGCTTCAAAAATGTGACTTTATATGGATTCAAATCTAGTGCTTGACCTAAGTAAGAGCAATTCTCACAGTTGACAACTATGCATATTATCTGCGGGGGCACCCCCACCACTACTACTACTGACAATAATAATAGAAATAGCTAACATTTGTATAGTGCCTACAATGTGCCAGACATCGTGCTAAGTGTTTTCCAAATATTATCTCATTTCCCCATTTACAGTTAACAAACTGTAAACTGAGGCAAACAGAGGGTAAGTGACTTGTCTAGGGCCACACAGCTTGTAAGTGTCTGAAGCTGGATTCAAACTCAAGTCTTTCTGACTCCAAGCCCAGTTCTCTATCCACTGCACCACCTAGATGCTGCTCCTCACTCACACACACACACACACACACACAGACACACAGACACACACACACACACACACACACACCCCACCAAATGCAAGAGAAACCTAACCATCTCACACTAACTGAGGAGAAACCCAGGTCAAATTGGAGAAAAGAGATGAATAATTGTTTTTTTATAAAACTGCAATTATAGCACTTTAAAATATGCACATACTATAAACCAGAAGCTAACAAATAGTGACCCTGGGTAAGTCACTTAACTCTGTTTGCCTCAGTTTCCTCACCTGTAAAATGAGCTGGAGAAGGAAATGACAAACTACTCCAGTCTCTTTGCCAAGAAAACCCTAAAAGGGGTCACAAAGAGTTGGACATGACTGAAAAACGATTAAACAAGAACAAAAAAAAGTGTTAATTCAGTTCAAATAACCTCTCTACCAGAAACAAACAAAAAGACTTATGTATCCATTTCATACTTGTACATTTTGTACATGCACATGTCCTTGTCAGTACTGATGGCAGCTAGGGACACAGTGGATAGTACAATAGAGCAGGCATCAGGAAGATGTGAGTTATATCCCACACCTCACTGTGTGACCCTGGGAAAGTCACTTAATTTCTTTCATCTATAAAATGGAGATAATAATAGAGCTTGCTTCACAGGACCATTGCAAGGACCAAATAGGAACATAGATATAAATATAAATATGGGTATAAATAGAGATATAGATAATAGAGATATAATGTATGTATATGTATGAATATATACACATATATGCACATATATGTTCTGTGTATACATGTGTGTATATGTATACATGTATATAAAAGTACTTTGCAGCTGTCATCATCATCATCACTGACCATGATGAAGCAGGATGCCTTAGTACACAACTCTGTGCTGCTGTCCAAATTTGGCCGGTCCTCAGGACAGTGTCATTTACACGCAGACTCTGCATAAATTCAATTCAACACAACAAACGTTTACAAGACCACTCAAACACTGACAACAAATGTTGATCAGATAGAAGTCCTGGATATGCTTTAATGAACAGTCAAGAGTCACTTTTAATTAGTCCGGTCCGTGTTTGCATGCAAATGAGCATTGCTGGAGTGGTATTAAAGGTGCCGTAAACAGTTTGCTTTCTCCAAGAAGCCAGACTTCATCCCCAAGCCATGACAAAACAATCATGGATCCAAATGAACAGGATATGAATTAATGAGGCTTTACAGAATAAAGAATTACCACCAGGCTTTTCTTCTAATCAAGCTATTGTTGCAAACACGCACACAGAAGGGCCTTGGCTACCGAGCAAGGCTTTTTAGAGTTTCCCTGTGAAGGGTCCCCTTTCTAACAGTGGGTCCTGACAGCTCAGCTTGGGGAAAAATAGGCTTGGAGGGGGGAGGCATTTCTAAGGAAAGAAAGCAGAAGAACAGTGAAAGCGACCACTTTTCCTAACACAGTCTTATTGTCACAGCAGGAGATGGCAACTTCATCTACTCCCAAGCTGATGAAAACCAGAAGGGCAAAGTGGCCCGGCTGCTGAGCCCTGTCGTTTATTCCCAGAACTCCGCCCACTGCATGACCTTCTGGTACCACATGTCAGGTTCCCATGTTGGCACCTTGAGAGTCAAATTGCGCTACCAGAAGCCAGATGAATATGATCAAACACTCTGGACTGCCATCGGACATCAAGGAAACCACTGGAAGGAAGGACGTGTTCTACTTCACAAGTCTCTGAAACATTATCAGGTATGTTGGCCTGCCTGGGTTGGAGGGCAGTTGATTCAGATGATCAGTTAGAGAGTATTGAAAGGCTTTAGAAATGGAAGCAGAGAGATCAGACCTATGGCCCCTTTTGAAAATGTAACCTCCTGGGGGTTATGCAAAATAAAGAAGGAATAGAAAGCAAAAAACATTCCAGAAATTCTGGAAGGTGGTGGGGGTGGGGGTGGGGGTGGGGGTGGGGGTTGTGTTCCTTCTGAGTCCAGGATATTGTTGCTGTGAAAGTTGTAATGGCAGCATATTTCATGATCTCCCAAATTACACGAATTGAAGCAATTACCTGAGAAGGAACAGAAAATGCTGCCTTACAAACTATTTCTGGGGAGTCACAACGTTTCATCCTGTTCATCTGCTGATTTTTTCCCCTAGTTTTAAAGTTTCTATTTTTAAAAGAATGTGTGAAGTGATGCTCTACGGTACCATACCAACCAGCTAATACCGATTGATGAGCAAAGCATGTGCTTATGTGAAAGCTTGTAAATTTAATTTGGGTGCTGTCACTAGAGCTGAGCAAGCATTTGTGAGTGCTGCAGTTTGGCACTATCAGTTAAACAGTGTGAAAATTTTCTCACTTTTCTAGGTGATTGTTGAGGGTGAAATCGGAAAAGGAAACCTTGGAGGGATTGCAGTTGACGACATTAGTATTAATAACCACATTTCACAGGAGGATTGTAAAAGTAAGTATGAGGTACCATAGAGTGGGACCAGTGAAGATGTGGCATAGTACAATGTTCTCAATACTGCTCTTGTCTTTATCTCACTCATATGGAAATAGATATTCAATATTAGGTAGGTACTAGTGAGATATGTATGCCAGTTGAAACATGTTTAAAATCAAATCATTTCATATTATCAGTATCCTGTAACCACTGATACAGGAACACCAGAGAAAAGAGAGAGAGATCTAAAACGTGTTTTTAAGGTCACTGCTTATAGTTGACCCTGATAACAAACAGTTATCACTACCATAACTTTTCAGTGGTCTATATGCCAAAGACCTCAGGCAATTCATAGCCCAACCCAGATGATAAGACATGCTCAAGGATATATATGACACACTTGAACACAGAGACACACAAGAAAAGTTAGCTAAATTAACAGACCCTCACAGCCATACTGTTTCACCACAAAGAGGTCTCACCCAGCTCATGATCTCTTAAGCCTTCCAGAATAAAGAGCTTTATAATAGTAATTGAATGGGCCAGCTTCACAAATACCAATCCAGGAATTCTTCTGTCTCACTTTTGTGAGTGACTAACACAGTGCCTCACACAGAGTTGGCATTTAATAAATGCTTGTTGACTGGTTGATTTTATTTCTCCTGTCTTTTTCACTGCTCCCTATAGACACCTTCAAAATGAGAGGGCAGTTATTGAATGCAACAGCTCCTGGTTGGCATCCCAGTTTGGTTCCTTGGCGTGATAACACACATTTAGTTACCTTAGTTCATCAGATGTCTGCTCTGGATGCACCAATAAGGAACGGAGTATATGTAAGGCCATATCTAATAGGCAATGTCTATAAAGACCAGGCATAGAGACTGGACTTGTGATTTAATTGGTATAAGGAACTCCCAGGTGAGGAAACTCCCTGCACCATTGCAAGTCAACACTTTTCCCTGTACCTTTAGTCTTACAGAGTTGCTCAGGGAACAGATGTTAATTTGTTCAGGATCCCATAGCTAGTTGGTATTAGAGGTGAGACATGAACCAAGGTCTTTTTATTTCCAAGGCTGGCTCTTTATCCACTACATCACATTGCTTCTCTGGGAAAGGTCCAAAACTGTTATTAAGGGCAGCGTCTATAGCAGACCTACCTGGAAGGTAACTGAAACATTTAAACAATTGGATAATTCCAAGTATTTTAAAGTGTAAATGCACATGGTCAACTTGGAAAATCTGGTTGCATGAAATATAACTAAGGTCAAGTCAGTAAATTATGAGCCCTGTAAACATCATGCATTATCATGAGTTAGCAAAAAGGTTTCTATACACCCAAACAGCTGAAGTTAATTTTTAATAAGATGAAGAGAATTATGTCTCATGCCCAAAGCTGGCTGTGGTGGTAGTGCCATTTTGAAGCACGTCTGATTTTGGGAGGTGGCAGAGAAATGTAGACGATAATTCTTAATTTTTTATACTATTTTTGAAAGGCATTGTTAATGGCATTCTAATAGCATACTTGTTTATCTTATGCCTCATTTATTTCACTCTGACTTTAATGTTATGTATCATCATATAAATTCATTGCATTAATTAAAACTAAAGAGAACCAATCTGTGACATCAGTTTAAAACCTGTTCTCTGTAATGTATGTTGGGTTTTTTGGGGTTTTTTGGAAACTCCATTGCTTTTCCAAGTCATTTCCTACCAGTATGTTTAATGCATACAGACCCTGAAGTGCTATTAGAAATATGACTGGGTTAATAGTGGCAACTGGAAAAAATATAGTGAAAAAAATGCTTATTTCTTTGATCTATGGGAGGAGATATTCCATTTGATATTCCAGTGGACTGGTATAAATTGTATTCATCAGGTTGTGGCAGGGGAAGAGTAATGCTTAATATTTTGGTGCTGGTCACTCATAAGGCTAGCATGACTCGGGCACTGCATAGGGCTATGAGAGAATAAATGGGGCTCCCTACCAGCAGATCCTGTGGGGCTCCTCAAGCAATATCTATAGAGGGTTATGGAGATAAGATATCTATCGGCTCATTTGTATTTGTATACGATATTCACTTGAGATAACCCTCCTGAATCTCTGGGAAGTGTTCCCTTGAAATGATCAGTTACTCTGCTTGTTGCACATTTATTGCTCAAATTTTCAGGTAGAAAATGCAAAAACCACCTTAGTGAATCAGTCCTAGGGAGACATCCTCTTTCTGGCTGCCTCATTTGTTTCACTCTCCAATGAAAATGCCATACAACTGTCCCATCAGTCAATTACAAAGCATGTGTTGTTTTCCTGATATGTCTTGCTCTGTGTAAGATATGGGTGATATGGAAGAAGGTCCCATTGCACTTTTACTCCCAGTGAGCTTATGGTCTATCTGGAAGAGATAAAATCGGCATTTGTGAAACCAAAAAAATAATAATAACTCATAGCTAAGATATGTGGTTTATGCTGAGCACATTAGGATTTCAGAGAAGGGAGTGGTCAGTTGGGAGCTGAGGGACCAGAAGAAGGACACCGCTCGAGTTGTGGTTTCCAAAGGGGAAGGGCTTCCTTTCTGAAATTTTTGCTTTAGAGCTCCAAGTTTCTAGCTGCATCGATCTCCCAAAGGAATGCTCCATGTAGGAGGCAGGGAATATTGCACCATGGTCTTTGTAACCAAATTCAGGCCAGGTGTCTATAAAGAAAGCAAAATTAAGAATTGGCACGATTTAACAGGCTAAATGCCCTTGGAATGTATAAGGCTGGCTATTTAACCAATGCCTTTCTCATAGGCTCTCTCTAGATCATCCTGCTGTCATTGACTATTTATGATTTTGTCTTTTTTAATGTGGGCAACTCCTTGTGAGGAAACTCCCTTCCTCCCCCAGTGGCACCCAGCTTGTGGTGTCAGAGTTGTTTGAGGGCACTGAGAGAGGCTTGGTGCCTTGCCTAGGGTCATACATTCAATATGGGTCCGAGGAAGGTGTTCCTGACTCCAAAGCTAGGCTTGTATCCTGGCTGCCTGTTGAACTTACTCAAACTACTGTTTCCTCCTCCCATTGCCTGAAAACATCACCTGGCAACAAAGGGTCTGCTGGAGGGTGAGGACTGAAACTTAAGACAAAATATCCCAATTCTGACTGATTAGCAAATTTATATGTGTTTTATTATCACCCTTCTATTGATTTCCAATCATTTCAAAGGGCTTGAGCCTCCTGGCATCTCCAAAGGGGATCTAGAAAATGCATGTTCCTATGTGTGTGTTTAAAATGTGTTTGCATTTTTAATTATCATTATCCATTTTCTTTTTTTACTCATTAGAATCAACGGATGTGGATAATAAGGACAAAGAAAACTCAAATCCTGAAACAGGTAAAATTGTCTTGTTTATCAGGTCTGCTGTGATACTCTCTGTATTTGTCCCTGAGATGTGTCATTGGAGTGAATTTTTCAATATAAATCCTCAGACCCTGGTTTGGATTGTTGTAAGACACCATGCTAGAGTCCCCTTAATGTTTTCAATTAGCTCCTATTTCATTTTGCATAAGAATTTCAGCCCAGCGGAACATTTTGTGGCTCACTCTGGTCTAGGCCGTGCCCTAGTTATCCTGGAGAAAACATCATGCCTTGACATCTAAAAGAGGCCAATTCAAACTTTTACTGCTAGTTATTCACCAGATGCAAATTACCCAGAATGTTAAACTGTTCATCCTGCACAGCCCATTGTGTTATTATGTTTGACCTCCTTCCTTCCATTTCCTTCCTAATCCACAAGAGCCCTGGTTTTCATGATAATTCAAGAGTTTTCTTTTTAATTAGTCCTCATCTGCGAAGTTTCTACCTTCAGTTGGTTTAGGAATTGCCAAAGATCACCAAACTTGGCCCTTTGTAGAATCTAGAATTCAAAAGGAGCTTCAAAGATCAATCTTACCCCTTCTTTTAAGAGGTAAGAAGACTGAGGCCCATAAAAGGGTTCAAGGTCACCCAAGTAAAAAAGTAACAAAACTAAAAGTCAAACTCAAGACCTCTGACTCTAGAATAGATATCTTCCCTGTTGTGCTGCCTCCCAGAAAGTATTAGGTTGCTTTAAAAGCAAGGCACACAAAACCAAGGCCAATGAAACCACCAGGGTTGACCTGTTCTACCACTTTGGAAAGGCCTAGTGTGCCATCATTGCTTTGAGTGATCCAACAATAATCCCCCATCATTCCCAGAGTAGGCATATTTTCCACATATTCAAATACATGCCAAAACCTAGCATAGATATGCATGTACTCTTGCTGTCTCCAGAAGTACAGTTGGTGTATAGACATTGGGCTATCACACATATTAATATATTCATCATGGTTCTTAGTTACAGAGCCTTCACACTGTCATGTAAACCTTATTAGACATTGTTTCAAAACAATATTTCATCAAGGGAGAGAGTATTAATATGTCCCTTAGTTTGTATTCCCCCTGCCCTGTTAAGGGACCCACTGCATTTATTTTTAGTTTTCTTTGATTAGAATCATTGTTGTTTTGAGCACCATTAAGTAAACACCAAACATGTTTCACATTAACATTTTTAGTCTCCTTTCTAGTACAAGGTAATTAGTCACCAGGCTCCCCTGTTAATAATTCCTTATGCACCACACTAAAGCAAAGATTTCCCCAGTGGCTGATTTGCAGAGCTCTGCTACTTTTTCCAGTGAAACCACCAGGACCATGAGGCCACTGAGTATGAGGTGGCTTCTAGCCAGCATGGTATCTTGGTCATGCTTTGTGCCTCCCTAAAAAGCATTCCAGCTTTGCCAAACTTTTCTTTGCTTTTAGCTCTCAGAATGAGCATATCTTGAAGGCTGGATTCTGCTTTCAATGAAACCACAGTAGACTTGGAAAAATATCATTGTGTAGAGTGAAAATTTTACACTTGGGCAGGACAAACACATGTGTAAAACACGCAATGAGATTGGAGCTTCCACCACATAAAAGGACAGCACTGAACATTTCCTCATGTCTGGTTTTGGAGTCAGTCAAATGAACAAAGAACGTTTAAATCCCTGCACTACGTGTTTTGATTTAGTGTGTGACTAAGCATTTCAAAAAGCATAATGACCAAAGATTTGACCTAGCACTTACTACATGTAGCTTTTGGCCAGCTAGGTAGGACAGTGGATAGAGCACTGGGCTTGGAGACAAGAAAACCTGAGTTCAAATCTGACCTCAGACACTGACTAGCCATGTGACTTTGGGCAAGTCTGTCTCGGTTTCCTCAGTTGTAAAGTGGAGATAATAATAGCTCCTACCTCCTAGGGTTGTTGTGAGGATCAAATGAGATAACATTTGTAAAGCGCTTAGCATAGCACCTGGCACATAATAGGTGTTATATAAATGTCAGCTATTATTATTAGCTATCATGTATAGAAAGAGGTACTCTAAATCCTAAATGCCGTAGGAAATCTGAATTAGAATAAAATATGATCCTTGCTGGTCAGAAATGCCAAACAATTGGTCCCAAAGTCAACATCCATCTGACCTCTCCCAGGCACAAGATACTGAGCCCCCCTGAGTCATGCCCAGCCATCTGGGGAACAGACCTCAGGTTTTACAAATTCACCCGAGAGACTATCAGTGATGGAAAGGGCAGATCCTGCATCTTTTTCATTTTTTTCGATTTACTTTCATCTGGTATTATGACTGCTCACAAAAGGCAATTACTTTTATCCTCTTCCCCTCCCTCTTAGGAAGCACACCAGGATACGATGGAATAGGAGAAGGTGATGAGAACATCTCTAGGAAGCCGGGCAATGTGTTGAAGACCTTGGACCCCATCCTCATTACCATCATCGCCATGAGTGCCCTCGGTGTCCTTTTGGGAGCCATATGTGGGGTTGTCCTGTACTGTGCCTGTTGGCACAATGGGATGTCTGAAAGAAATTTATCTGCCCTGGAGAATTACAACTTTGAACTTGTGGATGGCGTAAAGTTGAAAAAAGACAAACTGAACACACAAAACACTTACTCGGAGGCATGAAGGCCGAGATGAAAAGACAAATCGAGGAATTTAAGTGGAAGGATGGAACTTGAGTGTGCTGGGGAACAGTTGATCTTCCTTTACTGTACAGGCTGAAACATGCGTTGATGACGCTGAGCCAAGCTTTTCTCAGGAGGTTTGATGAGTATAGCCGACAGACGAACCTGAACAATCATCTGTATTAACGATCTGAACCATGGACGGTCAGCTTTTTCTGTTGGTTTGATTTAAATAATCAGATGCTGGTGTTGAGACCAAGTAGGATTGACTTAATGATTCCTTTTGTTCTTTCCCCCATCCCCCTCTCTCTTTTCTCCTTTTCCTTTGATGGATTTTATTCTAAACTGTGCAAAATCCAAGATGCAGTCACCAAGTGTATTCAGTGGGGACCCTTTGCTGCCTGTAACTCAGTGCCCAGAAAAGATTGGATTAACTGCAATTTAGTGGACTCTCACACCTGTACTTGTGTATAATTACTCGTGTTGTGCATAGGCAAAGAAGGGTTAGGCTGTCTTTTTGAGAGAGTACCGTCGCCTCAGTACCAGTATAGTGTGTCAGCTCTGTTTACGAAGCAATACGGTCCAATCTCCCTTGATGTTTTCAGTGTTGTACTCGACTTTGTGCTTGTGAACTCCATACAGAATAACGTGCCATCATCAGCCGTGACTGGCAACTGACCCGAGTGTACCACCGGAAACCGAAACAAACAGTCCTTGGCACTGGCTAATTTATGTCCTCCAAAGTGCCTTTTTGTTTGTACTGGTTCTCATTGTGTTCACTTGACTGACCCACTCTCTTTCCCTCTGATGAAAAGAAGCCCTTATCTCTAATCAAACCCTGGTGGTGTCCTGACTAAGAAGAAAGTATATTTTAGTGTGAAATGTTACCCCTCCCTCCCCCAGGAAGGCAAGGGCTCTGAAGATTGGGCAACTTGGCTTTGATTGTTCTGCTTTTTCTGTAATTCAGTTTCATGTCTCTTAACCCTTTTGTAGAAAGCTGCAATATCCTCTTTTATTGTCCTTTCATATGGAATGTATTTTCAGATGTAAACTTTTTCTTCTCTTCTTCTTCTTCTCTCTCTTTCCTATCACTCTGTGTCTTTTCTCTCTTATTAAAAGATAGGCATTTGCCATTGTTGAGGAAAGAAACCTGCAGCTTTAATTTGCTGACAATGGCAGAAGATTTTACTAGACTTTATGTTTAAAAGTAAATAAATAACGGAAAATTCCTAATTTTACTCCCCCCAAAGTCTAACTTTGGGCTTCTTGTTAACTCTATAAAGTGACAGTATCCTTTTTCCTTCAACTTTTCACTCTCTTGGTCTTTTTAAACCCAAAATCAGAATCAAAATTAATTGAAGTGTTTAGGTTCAGTGGGGAAAGATAAATTGGGAGCTTGTGGGGTGTGGTTTTTATTGAATTCGGTTACAAATAAGACCTCAAAGAAAGGCTGAAAGAAAGCCATGAAATTTCAGTGCTAAATGTTCCATTGGAACCTTCTTATCTGGGACTCAGGTTGACTAAGTAAGTAAGGTTATCAGGTTCCTTTAAATCCCAATGAAACTGTTTGGTTGGAAGATAAGAGGGGAATAAAAAAGCTAGCAGTTCATTTGAAAGAAAAACTCTAAATCTTGGAGCCAGGAAAGGAAAATGTTCTGAGATGAGGAAAGTAGCGAACTTTTAAAACCCATATCAAAAATGCACTCAGAAGCAGGGGAAACTGGTGGCTCCTGTGAATGAATGCCTCTGGGCTTCTTTCCAAGTCGCTGAACAAAGTAGAAGCCTTCTGTGGGGCAGGGCTTAGGGCTCCTAATGCCATAGCAAGTGAGACATCCTGGTATCAAGGCAGCCTGTGAATTATCCCAAAGAAATTTTGATTGTTTTCCGTGTATTTGTGTCATGTTGTATATAATGATTTGTAGGTCTTTCCCCCCCTCCTGCATAAGGACTGGTCTCTCCAATAAACTACTGGGAGTCACATTTGCATCCCATTTGCAGTATGGAAAGCCCATTCATCTTGATTTAATTGGATTGGGAATGCTGTTTGTTTCTTGTAAAGTATGGAGGGCCACAAAAGAAGAGTAAGTTTTGTCCCCGATGGCATCCGGTCCAGAACCAGGACTAAAGCACTAAAGACTTCATTTCTTAGAAGGTGATGGACTTAAAGTTGCCTTCAACCAAGGAAAAATGATACTGCAACTTTAAATTAAAAAGTATCTTGCACTGATAAATATATTTAAAAATTATATGTTTATAAAGTTATTAATTTGTAAAGGCAGTGTTACAGAATGTTCAGTTTATATTGTTTTAGATTGTTTCAGATTGTTTCATAATTTTTAAAAGTGTAAAATAACATATTTTTTTTCTTTATTGAAAAACTATAAAAAAATCTTCTGTAGTAAAATGATTTCATTTTACTGGTATATTATTGCTTCATGTTTTGTACCATCATGAAATTTTGTGCAAATTTTTTTTACAGAAATTTTTATTTTCTATGACAATAGGACACTTGTAAATTGTTGTTTCAAAATGAACAGTGAAGCCTTAACTTTAAATGATGTTTGTATTCTCAGACACTGAGTAGCATAAAATCCACCTAGAACTGACCTGTAACTGAAATTCCAAACTATGACTACTACATTCCAAAGAAACAGTTGGATTAAACATTTTCATAAAATAGCCCAAACTTGATGCCTCTTATTATCATTGGCCTTCATCATTAGAGAAGATGGTATTTTTTCAAGAATCAGATAAGCCTTATGAGAATGGAATTTTTAAGAGTTCATTGTTATGAAAGAATATACTCCTCAGAGTAAAAGATTGAGAAGATAAACCTTGCTGAATAAACCTGGCTCAGAGTAGATGTTTGAGGTTTGATGCCATGCTGCCCTATGAAAAACCCTAATGAAAGCTTAATTTGGTTGAGGATAGAAGATTGGGTTGTATGGGGGAGGGTGTAGGTTTTTAATTTCTGATGTTATAGCAAGAGGCTCTGTGTTCCATTAGCTAAAGTCGTGCTTTATAAGAGCCATAAGAACATGGTGGTGCATTTTAATGATGTGTAGGGGCGGGAAGGGGAGAAAGACAGAAAGAAAGAGAGACAGAGAGAGACAGAGAGGTGCTTATGGCATTTATAGCATCGCAGACATAGAACAGTAATGGACCACAGAAACCACCTACTCCAACTCCATTTTATAAATGAAGAAACTGAGGCCCATGGAGGTGAAATGACTTTTCTGAAATACAGGTAGTAGGCATAAGGGAAGGGATTTGAACCTAGTGCCTCTGACTCCACAGCCTACACACACACAAACTCATTCTCCTTTTGAGGACAATTGCCAAGTTGCACATGGTAGACTCATTACCAACCATTCAATAGCCTTTGAGGAAGTTCCAGTTCCATCTGGAAAAATAAAAAAGCCGAGGTGTTGTAGCATGAACATAATGCTCTTTGGAAAGATTGTTCCAGAATCACCCATAGTTTCCCTGTCCCATATAATCTAGAGACTACCAAAGCCCCAACCATTCCTCTTTTTCTTTCCTAGGTTATTTTAGAAATGCCTAATTCTAAGTATATTTGGTACATTGAGGAGAATGTTCCTGCAGTACTCCAATCTTCCTAAGGATATCTTTCCCTGAGAAAGAATCTGCTTCTCTTTGTGAGTTTATTTCTGTTCATTCTCCTCTTTCTTTTCTTAAACCAAAGATACAGAAACTCTATCATTGAAAACTCGTAAGCAAGGAACAATTTTCCTGCAGTTGAATAATAATCCCAGATGAATGATGTCACTATAAAATAGAATTCCTCCCCAACAAGAGCCTAAACCAAATGCCCTTCCTAGACGGAAGGCTTGCTAGGAATAAAGCCTTGTCAGCAACAGCTTGAAGTCTAACCCTTTGCAGCTACAAAATACTTTCTCATAAATTATTCTCATTTGATCCTAACATCAGCCCCTCTCCCCAGTGAGATCTGTAGTGCAGTAATCGTTGCTTTCATTTAAGAGATAGGGGAGCTGAGGCTTAAGTAACTTGGCTAATATCAGACAGCTTAGTGGAAGAGCCAGAAATCAAACCAGGATCATTATCGAGAGGTGGAAGGGGTCTCAGAGGTCACCTGGTCTACCTCCTCGATTTAAATATGAGGAAACTGAGGCCCAGGGAGTGGAAGTAACTTTTCCAAGGTCATATAAGTAGGAATCAGAGGCACGATTTGAACACAAGCCCTCTGGCTTCCGAGTCAGTGTTTTTTCCCCCGTGCCATCCAATCCCACTAGTAACTCTTGACTTGTGACATGTCAGGTTAGAACGAATGCAAAGACTTGTTTTAAAAAACAAAAGTACTATGATTTCTATATATAATGAACACAGAGACTTTGTCTTTTTTTTTTTTTTTTTTTTTTTGGTGAGGAAATTGGGGTTAAGTGACTTGCCCAGAGTCACACAGCTAGTGATTGTTATGTGTCTGAGGTTGGATTTGAACTCGGTACCTCCTGAATGCAGGGCCAATGCTCTATCTACCGTACCACCTTGCTGCCCCACAGAGACTTGTTTTAAAAAACAAAAGCTCTATGTATAAATTTCCCTCTGCTTGGTTTCCTTGAAAGGCCACAGACCTGACAACTTTTCCACCTTGTCCTTTTCAGTATTCAAGGTTAGCAAAACTGAGCATTTCCCACTGTGTTTGATGAGCTAAATCTCTGTGCATGTCCCAAATTCAGGAATTAAATAAATTGCACAGATTTAAGCACTTTATAACACAAAGATTATTCATGGTTCCATTGCCTCCCTTCCCCGGTAACTTGATTAATTGCCAATTGGGTTGAATTGCACGGCATGAATGTGCAGTTTCAATTAAGAATATGTCCTATTCCCCCATGTTTCAGCATCCCAATGGTAATGACACCAATTTCTGTTGGAAGTAAGAAGTAATCACATAAAGAACTAGTTCCACTTTCCCCAAATAAGTGACTTTTGAGCAGAACTTCAACCTATATCTGAGTGACACCAAGTACATAGATAATAGAACTTAGTGCTAAGAATACTGGCAATGAATTACAGGCATCCCTCACCCAAAGTGGCCCCCCAACTAGCACCATTTCCTAAGAATACCATCTGAGTGTTATAACCAAATGGCATGATAGTACTACAAAATATCCCTACCTCCTCATTCCATCCCTTCAGCCTATAAACACGTATCCCTTTTCTTAAAAATGCCCTCACTTGACGCTCCTATCCCTGCTTGTTATTGTCTGCTATCTCTCCTTCCCTTCTGAGCTAAATTCCTTAACAAAACAAAACAAAACAACAAAAAAAAAAAACATTTATACTTGATGCTTCTGTGTCCTCTCCTCTCACCCTCTTCTGGAGTGAATCGAACTTTCAACTTCATCATTCAACTGAGGCTGCTCTCTCCAAATTTACCACTGATATCTTAATTGCCAAATTTAATGGTCCTTTCATAATCCTAAATCTCCTTGACCTTCCTGAAGCATTTGATGCTGTTGATACTCTCTTCCTAAATACTGTCTCTTTTCTGGATTTTCCTGACACTGATCTCTCTTGGTTTTCCTTCTACCTATCTGACTGCTCCTTCTCACAATCCTGTGCTGGATCTTCATCTATGCCACGCCAATGCCCACTAACAGTAGGTATCCCTGTCTTGTTCTGGTTTTTTGTTTGTTTGTTTGTTTGTTTGTTTTTTTGCAAGGCAATTGGGGTTAAATGATTTGCTCAGGGTCGTACAGCTAGTAAATGTCTGAAGCCATATTTGAACTCAGGTCCTCCTGACTCCAGGGCCAGTGCTCTATCCACTGCGCCACCTAGATGCCCCCCCCCCATCTTGTTCCGAACAGTCTTCTCTTTTCTCTCTGTACCTTCTCACTTGGTAATCGCATTAGTTTCCATATGTTCAATTATCATTTCTACACAGTTGATTTCCATAATTAAAGATCCAATCCTACATCACCACCTGACTATTAGACATTTTGAAATGGATGTCCAATAGAAGACTCAAATCCAATGTGTCCCAAGGGAATATTTTACTTTTCCCCTCAAGACTCCCCCCTTCCAAACTTCTCTGATAATGTTGAGGGCATTGCCTCCTCTCACTTGCCCATAATCCTCACTCTCATTCACCCTACATATCTTAGCACTGGCTATGTTTTTATCATTTCTACCTTTATACCATTTCTCATATACATCCGTTACTTTCCACATTTATAGCATGACCCTATTTCAAGCTTTTATCACCTCTTCTTGCCTGGACCGTTACAATAGCTTTCTAATTGGTCTTCCAGACTCAAGTATTATCACTCCAATCTATCCTTCATAAAGCTACCAAAGTGATTTTCCTAAAGTATAGATTGGGCCATGTCACCTCACTACTCAGGAAACTCTAGTGGTTTCATATTACCTTTTGTATCAAATATAAACTACTTTGTTTGGCATTTAAAGCTCTTCACAACCTGGCTCCTTCCTATCTATTCAGTTTTCTTACACTCCCCCCCAATACACTATATGATCCATCCACCAGATCTATTTGCTATTCAATGCACAAATATTCCATCTCCCATCTCTGTGTCCAGTAAGACTTACTGTCTTCCACGCCTGGAATTCTCTATTCTCACTTCCACTTCTGAGAATTTCTGGCTTCCTTCATGACTCAGATCAAATGATACCTTCTACAAGAGAGCATTGTGCATGTGACTTTGAAAAGAGGTACAGAGTGGCTCTGCATTTTTTTGTGCATAATATGGATAAGAAAAATAAAGACTTTTCTCAGATTAAATCATTAATCAACAAGCATTTATTAAATGCCTACTCTGTGCCAGATACTGTGCTAAGTGCTAGGGATATAAAGAAAGGCAAAACCAGTCCTTGCTCTCAAGAAACTTACAGTCTAAGGGGGCAAAAGGGCAAATGGGTTGTTAATGTTGATTTAAAAAAAAAAGCTTTGATGGGTAAAGATTAGGGATGTTATAGGAAGAATGAACTTGGCACAATTGCTAATAAGACTTTCTGGCTAATCAAATGTTCCCATATTGAATATACTACATAATATATTAAATGGGGTAGGAATTTTCAAAGTTTAAATGCAATGAAATTGACAAAACTAAAACTAGACTGAACATATCTCAACTTTCCTTTCATAATCAAGAACCTTATGCCATCGGGTTCCAGTTTTTAATATTACTGCACAGCAGGAAAGGTTCTGTTCCCTGTTGTTGTTTTTTAAGTTTATTTATGTCTTCTGTTTGTTACATCATCACAATTATCCCAAGCATCCCTCCCCTCTTCCCTTCACAGAGAACCATCTTATATAACAATTTTTCCTTTAGAGAGGAAAACAAAAATCAGCACAGCTGTTCAATACAGTGAAAAACACCGAAAACATGTACAATGTATAACACGTGTGAACCTCTCACATCCACAAAGTGGAGATTTGGGGTGTCCTCTCATATTTCTTCATTTGAGCTATGCTTGATCTTTATAATTTTGTTGAATCTACTTTTGATTTTTTGGTGTGTAGTTGTTTACATTTACATTGTTGTAGTTACTGTGTATATTGTTTACTGACTGGTTACTTCACTTTGCATCAGTTCATATAGATCTTTCCATGCTTCTCTGCATTCATCACACACATCATTTTCTTACACAATTGATATTCCATTACATTCATG